TAGGTGTTGTAGGAAGCAGTGTTGTTATTTCACTGCCAGAATGTTATTTCCCTCCAATATTATGTGTTTTGTGTTGTACAGGATGTAACTTGCACTACTAAAATATCTGTTGTGACATATTTTTAGAATATATTAATGTGTCCTTGTAGTTCAATAAACAGTAGTTACTTGATGAAACAATAATGCTGGTATTTACAAATTTTCTGAAAAAAACATCATTACTATGGTAACTGTCAAATAAAGCTTTGTTATTCAAAAATAGTCCAAAATACAATTAATAATATGAAAATTAGTACATTTTAAGATTTTGATCTGTTTTCCAATTTTACCTACCCATACAAAATCCTATATGTAAAAAGTGTAATGCGAGATTTATATTTTTTTGCCAACACAATTTCCCAGTAACATAACGCCATACACTGTTATCATTGTGTAGAATTTATAACTGCTGCTGTTTTGTTCGAAATATGTAGAACGTAAACATACATTCAGAATTTAAAAAAAAGAACAACATAAAAATGAGAAAAGAAAAAAAAAGGTTAAGCCTAACCTATTAACAGCGGCAGGAATATATATGACCTGAGAGGATGAAAATAAATCGAAACTGTGGCCCAGCTTACAGTAAGACCAAAGTTATCGTGGTTCATTCAAGTGCTTTATTGGAATATAGTTAAGAATAAGAAAGTTCAACTTGAGGCCAATTAAACAGCGAAAAAACCTATGAGAGGATGAAGTGCTGTTTGCATACGTCCTGAACGTCTTATCTTAAAGCATTTTCGTGGTGGTTGGTGCACTTAAACAATGTATCAAGAAGTCTTAGAAACCAGTATTGTGGGACTAAACGATTTTGAATCGATGGGGTTGTGATAATCGGAGACCCTAATTTCGTTACATCAGTGAATTAAGCAGAACGAACTTGAACTGAAACTTATTTTGAAAAATCGGAAATACTGGTTGATATTTTCGCGACACGTGTACTAATAAGTAATCGATTTCATCGCTCGGCTCTAGGGAGCATGCAATCAAGTATTGTAGTCATATTGAGGCGACCAACACTTGCGACTAGTCCAGTGGAAGACTGTCAAGAAAGAGAAAAACTTGTGGAATTTATGGGACCAGATAGCAAATTGCACTGGAACAAACATTTAAAAAGGCATTACATTAACAAAACAGAATAGTTTTCACCCCCACGCTGCTATAGGCACAATGGATTTGGGTTGAATACTAAGGAAAGTAATAATGAGCGATTATCATCACCATGTAAGGTACTCATTAGTCTGACTAATTCTATCTGGGTATTGACAGAGAGTTATATCATCTTTAATCTGCAGGTTCAGGTTAATGACCATCAAAAACTCAGTTCTGTGGTGAGTGATTGATCTGACAATTACAATGGAAAACTTTCTCAATAAAGATATACCTTAGTTTCTTAGAATACATCATGTGCCATGAAAATATCAGGAACACGTTTGGCTGCAGTCTAGGTACAAAAAAGGAAAGTGGGAAATGCGTTTTTGACATTTATGTGAGTGAACATTTCCTACAAAACAGAATTATTCTACTCAGAAGACATTTACAAAATAAATACTGTGTAAATAAGAAAACTATTAAGTTATTGAAAATGGTTCATAGACGGGCTACTAGGATGATTCTGGAATGATTATCTTGTAGGGATAGTCTTATGCCACTTATCTGGGGAATCAGTATCAATAACAAATTCTGATTTCATTGTGTTACACTTAGTAGATGAGAGGTCATAGGATTAAAATTTGAAAAAAAACAACTGTGGGCTCCAGTTAAGATATTCGTATTTTTCTAACAAGGTGATTGGCTTATGAAATGAGTTGCCGTTGGCAACAGCGGAGGCCGGCACTTTGCGAGAGTTTAAAAGAGGGATTAACAATTTCATGAAAAATAAAGAGTGGGCTTAAGTTTTTTCTCAAGGATGGATGTGCAGAACCAGCTTTGAAGGTCCAAATCGTCCGTATGTTATGTCTACTCCTGTAAAACTTTTAATTGTTAGTGCATTTCAATTGAAATACTGCACGATTACGACGAACTGTTGTGGGTTTTACGAAGCATTTTTGTTAAAAGCCAAGATGGCTGAGGCTCTTGACCCTTTTGAAAGGTTAATACTTCAAGTAAATTATTGTTTTCAAAATAACTGACTGTAATAAGATAGGGTTTCACAAAATTTTAACAACATATTTCCTAGTATTTCAAGAAGGTTTTTTTTTAAGAGGTAGATTTACTCATAATAAACTCATTTCACTGATAGGATTGATATATTAATCTCTAAATACATTATGAACATTTCATCGGAAAGAATACTTCATGTCTCTAGTTTAAAATATTGTTAGAAAACAATAGACTATAAATAAAATGTGACTTCATTAATGAGTATCAACAACATATAAATTGTTTTGACATTGCCTAATTGATATTAATACGATCCATTATTCGTTTCGATCAAAAAAGACCTTTAAACACAATGTTTTATTTGTTTGTTGTTAAGCGCAAAACTACTCAAGGGGGTAATGTGTGCTCTGCCCATGTGGTATCGAAACTCGATTTGAGCGTTATAAGCCCTTAGACTTACCACTGAACCACCGGGGATATACAGTGAAGAAGAGATATGTTGATATAAATTTATTTTCTGGAGAGTTTAGCATAATTTCTCCATAAGATAAATTTATATCAATAGCAAGGATACATAAAACTTAAAGTGTTGTGTAGCCTTATTAGCAATTGTAAACAACAATGTAAAAGCTAAGGTAACGAATCCGAATCTACATTTTATCGCGTTTATTACATTTTCCAACATATGTGATAGAACTTTTCAAAATGCTCATTTCAAACGAACACAAGGAATTTTTTTGAATAATAAAAATTAAATTAAATGGTGAGCCTTGTGGTCAAATACATTTTTGTTATCTGTTGTTTTTGTTTTCTTTTAAGGAAAGCAAGTTTGGGATTTCAAACCCCAGTCAACAACGTGTTACTAAATACTTGCTATATCTATAACGATTTATTTATCTACAACCACATTTATGCCTAAGAGAAGGATTTAACGCAAGAAATTTGGGAAAAGACAAATAACCTTTGCATATCAATAAACAATTTTTTTATACAAAAATAAATGGATACATTGATTTAATTATTTTCCATATCAAAAAGTCGTTAATAATGCTATACGACAGAATAAACTTATTTTGTGACAAAACATAAACAAAATCTATTTTATTCGTCTCTCTGTCCCCCAGTGGCACAGCGGTATGTCTGCGGAATTACAAAGCTAGAAACCGAGTTTCGACATAGAAAACGAATATACCCCTTTATGTTATATAAGTTTAGATACTAGTAAGTGGACTGTGCTTAACTACACTTTTTTGAACAGATTATATCCAACTGTGAACCACGTCAATGCTGTATTAGGCTGTTACATTTTGCCAATTGGGGTTAGTGTAGACTAAATTTATATGTAACTAGTAAATTAGAGAACTTTTTACATGCTGGACATAGATAGAGAATACAATGCTTCTCCTTTCTTGAATACTGATATTAGTCTCCTGGCCTGGGTTATATAATGTTTTAAGAAGTATTAGCAGAGCTTGAGTTTGAATACAGATTCAAGCAAAACTACAGTTTGATTGGAATTGCCACCTTCTCCATTGGAACAAATCTTTCATTGAATTTAGACATATGCAGTTGTGTTTTGTTAGTTGTTGCTGAAATCGGTTATCGTCAAAGAAAACACAGTCATAATATTTGTTGTCGTTCAGTTCTTTTGTGAATAAAATGTTTTGTATATGTGTGTGTATCAAAGATGGTGTGATTTTGTCATTCTTTTTCCTTTTTGTTAAATTTTTTTGCCGTTATTTCATGCTATTATTTTTCCCTTATCGATGTTCATACATGCGCATACCATCCCACTTTAACTACTGAAGCAATTTTGCAAACTTAATACTTACCTGTAAGTTTAAGTTTAATCTGAAATTATTACACGATTATAATCCATGCAGTTTTGTCTTTACTTCTGAAAATTTATCAATTTATTTTTTATAATGTCTACTATTTGCGATGCTGTATGAATGTGGCTGAAATTATATGAAATTCTTAAGTGAAACAAGTTAATATATTCATTGTTATTATATATTTCAAGCAACAGAAAGGAAGTTAATATTACTTGCGTATTATTTGTTCAACTATGCAAAAGCGTGATATTTGGAGCTTAAATATGCGATCAGAACATGTAACACTTCCTCCAGAAGACACGCATTTATATGTAAATTTGTATTAGCATATCTGACTCGATGTCTGCTTGGATCTTAAATACATTTAATAACTGTGCTACACAGGCTTGTACATGATATATATATATATATATATACACACACATTTATTTAAACAATTATAACTGCGTAGGTAAATGTCTTTGTAAGAAAACTGGTTTTTACCAGCAGGTGCCGCATATACACAGTATATCAGGTGCTTACCGCTTAGATATAAATAAAAATTAATGACTGAGCAATCTGACTTCTAGAATGGTAATAACATAGTGTGATTGAGTAAGGTAAGTACTTTTAAGTGCCAACTTTTTTTTTTTTTTTTATATATCATGTTTTAAGATGAAATCTTTAAATCTAATTTCTTAGAGTGTTAGCTAATCGAATTTTGTGAGAGAGGTGACTTTACATAAATTTCACAAATAGTAGTGAGAAGGCTGAACTATAGTTTAGTAGTTAATTTATCACTTTATGCATATGTAATCATAAAGAGTCGATAAACTATATATACTATAAGTATAACTTATGGATGGCCAAGATACTCAGTAGGCATATTATAAATATGCACGCTAAAAAATCAGTAATGACAGAGAGTTTTACTTTAAAAGATGATTGCTTCTCGCTTTCATTTGTTTTATGTTTCTCTATCCAACAACTCCAAAATTTTATTACATGCATTCATAGAGTACACTAACTTTCAGTCAGGGTAAAAGAAATGTTATAAAAACAGGTAATAAAAAAAACATTTTTTAAACGTAAAATGATGTAGGGATGATGGGGCCAAAAGGAATGCAAACAAAAAAATATAGGGATGATACAGCTATACATAGGTCATCCCTACGTTTAATATTAAAATTTAATGTTACACTGTAAAATGCATACTTGACTTTAATATTACTGCAGTTGGAAGTCATATATTCCTGATTATTGGTATACAGTTTATCAAAGTATCATGGTCATGTTGGGGTAGACATTAATGTAGTGTATCTAAGAGCTTAGGACTTGTGTACAAGGAAAACGAAGTTGAGTAAAAGTATGCCTATTACTATAGACTATTACACACTCTTGCTATGAGGCATTTGGATTGACTGACATCTAACTATTTTGTATTCATGTATTTTACAATGTAGCATTAAATTTCAATATCAAAAGTCATGTAGGGATGATTTATGTGTAACTGTATCGTCCCTATACTCTTCTTTGCATTCTTTTTGGCACTGCCATCTCTACATCATTTTACATTTACAAAATGTTTTTCATTACTTTAATATACAGAAGTTATGACTGGAATGGAATAGAAATATACCAAACCTATGTTCTGAGACTTAATTTTCATATCTATTAATATATTGCAGTCTTCAGATACAGTTGATACACATTAAAAAATTAAGCTAGCGTTTAAGAAAGAGTACTTAAAAGTTAGAATGATTTTTCTTTAACCAATGAATTGGGAGAATTTTATGAGGAAGAAACAGCTTTGAGATAACAAAGTTTGGAGACTGCTTGAAAGGGTAATTTGGGGGGGGGGGGAGATATATAGTTTAAAACATTAACAAATGTATAAAAATACGACAATGTTTTGTCATCATCAGGTACATCCCAGATTATCCCACTATCTCACCATAGAACCTTTTCCAATAAGTTAGTATTGTATCTTAATAATGAAGCCAAATGTACATGGTATTCCAAGTGAGGCTTAATTGGTGATTATAAGGGAGAAATAATTGCATCTTTTGACTTTCAATCTATGTCTATAAACACATCATCAAATTCCATTAACTTTACTACTAATAACAGAGTACTGCTTTGGTGGCTTGACTTGTTTATTCACCATTAATTAGCAATACATCAAGATCCTTCAATTCCAAATTATGATAACCCAAACTGATTATCTCCACTTACTATAATTAAAGATAATTTGTCAAATATTTGTACAACTTTCTGATAGATCTAAAGTCATCATTCTGTAATACCTCAATATTCTAAATACAGCTCGGAATACTCACAAATGTATTGTCATTAACAAACTTTACTAAGTATTCTTCTTTCAGTATAACATAATATGAACATTTAAGGACAGGGTACATCTCAGTCCATTGAGACTGTCACATCAGTTAAAGTAAACTTTAAAAGTAATAAAACCTTGTGGACCAGCATTTATCATTTAAATATTCATCAAGCCTTCCTTTAAATTTATTGCATTCACCACATCCAAAGATCAACCAATTTTTTAGAAAAATAAACCTGTCTTAGCTGAAGGTGACTCTTACCCTGCCAAAATTTGTATTTGTGTCCTTTAGTTCTACCATTCTAACCATTAAGTAAAAAAAAAAAAAAAAGAACTATGGTTCAACGTGATTGATATCATTAACAGCCTTAACAGATCCCTCTAACTCTTCTTTTTTGAGAAAACAATATTATAAATCTTAACCTATCCTCATATGACAAACTTTCCATCCCATATATAATTTAGTAGCTCTTTTTTTAAAATTTCTTCCAACAATTCAATGTCCTTCTTAAGGCAAGGAGTCCAAGAGTGAACAAAATACTACAAATTTGGCCTAACTAGTGACAAATATAATGAAATTATAGAACTTCTTTGGACTTGTATTCAATATGTCTGTAAATAGAACCTAAAATCCTATACTACTACAGCATACTACTTGGATGGCTTGAGAGACTGATCAATCACACTTCAAGATCTTTTTCTTCCATAACATTGTTATACTTATGATTTAAATTATGATTACCTTGCATTTATTGAGAATAGAGAGGTGATTATCAAACTATGAACAATGCAGTCTAACAAGTGCATTGTAGATAAGCTACTCATTTGTTAATAGTGAGATAATAATAATAATAATAATCAAATCAGAATAGAATCGGAGAATGGTTTCTGAAATGGTTCATACCTTTACTGATGATTATCTTTTATCTGTTACTGATTAGGCTTATTGAAAATTAGAAACAACAACAACAAAAAAGCAACAGCATATGTAAACTAAAAGTGGTTTTACTGATGCATAAATAAGAACAAGCTGAAAAAGATTAGTAATTGATTTGTATGTTTGTACATGTATATCCATTTAGGAAAAGTAAGAATGAAGCATGAGTTATATTCTAACAAATTACTCAACAATTATATGTAACACTCTACCACCTTAGGTTTGCATTTAAATGCTACCATTAAAATGGACACATTACAAGCTTATTTTCACAGTCATCTTGTCAGTTCCATTATCATAACGTTAGATTTTACAACATGACGTTGCAAAAAAAACAACAATAAATGCAGTCATAATCTAAGTGTTGGAGATAGTTGAAATTGTATTTTTTATTATTATTGGCTAATACAATCACTACTGATGTTATGACATTTTTGGTTAAGTAGTTTTCCCTTCAGTTGGGGAGTAGTTTGTAAGTGAATGTAAAGATACTTGTCATCCTAGGAAACTTGTAGATATAATTTATTGGTGAATGCCTGCTTATAGCACTGGTAACAAAACTTACCAGAAGTATAGATTATTCATTGTGGATACTGGAAATGGAACAGCAAATATGAATAAAGAGAACCTTTGAATTAGAGTAAAGCAGGAAACTTGCATTTTGTTGTCAAACAGGTTCTTAACAAGCAAGTAATTGTTTTTGAGGAAATTTCATTGAATGTCATAGAAACAATTGGTAATCCTGGTAAGTCTTTTTCACCATGTTAGAATGTAACGAAATTCATGAAACTTGTTACTTAGATACTATTCTTAAATAGATCTGTAGTGAGACCCAGGACAAGTGTCGATCCTTGATGAACATCTGTGCTGTAGCAGAGCTAGTAGTACTATAGATTTGACCTTTGCTTTTGTCAGATGAATATTCTTTTAATTACACGAAGAAAATTGGGTTGACTTTCATCCATCTTGCCATGCCATTACTTTGGTCATGTCATCTGATTCAAATAGAACATTTTTCCTTGTTATTTATAGGTTTGTTTCTTTGGAATGGAATGAATAAATAGGTTATAATTTTTTTTTTATAGCAAAGACTATTACCTTATTGGAACTTAATAGATGAAAAATGGAGACATTGAAGTATTTATTTTTCATTATTAAAATAATGTTTTTTTAGTTAAGGAGGGTTTACATCAAAAGCCAAAAAGTTTCTGGAGGGGTAACTTTTGTTTTCCAAATGAGAACATAAATTAGATAAGATTTGTATCCATGTAAATATGTATTTCTGTACACGAACAAATAAATTCGAAATACAAATTGTGCATACCAAATCTGCATACTATCCATCGGAGTAGTATACCAAAAGATAGATTAGGTCTCTACATCATTCGTGGATTTTCCCTTTTTTTCATTGAACTTACAAGTTTTAGTGAGGAGGGGGGAACCCAAATAATTTGTACAATGATTAGTGGCTTTTGATTACCCAAAGTTCAGGATTACTGTTGTACTATAAATTATAAAAGTCCAATTTTATTGACCAATGTCAGCAAAGTGTTTACTGTATTGAACTTAAGCTGTAATTGCCTAGGATTGTTCTTACTAGGATGTTAATACAGAAATAAGAGTTAAGTGCTTATTAAACATTGCCAAAATGTTAGTTGTTAGAATATGAAAGTCATTAAAACCCAAAAAAAGTTCAAGTTTTTAGCATTGCAGTTTATTTTGACAAGTAAAATGCTCATTACATCATAAGCTTATCTGGGGCATTGTAATCCCCATCATCCATAACATTGTCTAGCAAAAACTTAAAGGAGTTCAAACTACCAGACACGCCACGTCTTCTGGCAAACTATTCCACAAGTTAAGTTTTAAAAATGATAGAATTTTGCCTAATAATCAGTCTGATCCTGAGCATTTATTTTCTTTAAAATATTGGAATTTTTCCTCAACCTTATCTTTTCACCACTTAAACCAGTCTCTCATGGGGAGTTTATCTGATCTTCTAGTGATTTCTAAGACCTTAATCTGGTCATTAATTTAAGCTTTGGTGGTTATGGTAGGTTGAGAAAATAAGCAAATGGAAGACACAAACATGTTCATTGATCTGAACAGGGCAAAAATTAATTTGTTTTGTGTGTTAAAAACAGTATATACGAAGTTTAGTGTAAATTGAAATTGGTAAGTTTATAACTTCAACATTTTTTGGGGTAATTGGTCATGGAATGACCCACAAAAGGAGAATTTTGGAAGTTGTAGACTTCATAATTTACCTGTGTTTTAAACAAGGTGTTAGATCTTTCTAAAAAAAAAAGTTTGAAAGGTGGCATTTCGTACATATTGCTCAATAAAATAATTTTTTGGTAGAAAGCGGTGGATAATCATGAATGAGTGTTATTTTGACTGAAAGAATTTATCTAATTAATGGAGTCATTCTAAGATCTCTTTTGGGATTGTTAATTGATTAATAGATTGATGCCCATCTGTTACTTTGTTTTTTCAATTTAGCTGTGATTAGCATTTTTTACTGGGCAAGTGCTTCTTTCTCCAATTTGTTCTTAAGTGTAAGATCAGACTTTTTTTTTTTTTTCAGGTAATTATTTTGGGCAAGATAACCTGGATTTTTCAGGATTATTCTTTGGATATCTTTTGAATTAATAAAAAGTTGCTTAACATGTGTTTGGTTTTAATTCATGCTAAATGCTGGTCTTTTTTTATCAGTATGTGTATATATATATATGTGCTCTTGCTAATACAGATATAATATTTCAAAGACAGGGTATTACATATAACTCATAATCTTTCATCAATATATTGCAGAGTTGTATTGTACTGCAGTCTCCAAAATGATTGGCTTAAGAATATTACGCAGCACTAGCTCTTTGATACCTGAATTTCAGACTAAGTGTTGGGTTCGTTTATTTTCCGAGAAAAGAAAGATTATAAAAATATGTGTTATTGGTAGTGGACCAGCTGGCTTTTACACAGCTCAACAACTATTAAAGGTAAGAGCTTTTAAAATTTTGAAATGAATATATTTTTTTTTTCCATTTTTAAAAGGAAACCGGCAATGATTTTTAGTTGTGTAAAGAATTTTTTTTTTTTTAATGGTAATCAGACTTCTGCAATTATGTACCTTAAATGATTAAAAAAAAGGAAAACTAATTACTGTTACATATTTAGTCACTTTCAACATTTGTCGTTTACATTATATACACTATATATGTCGGGAGTAATTGAGTGCTATTGGAACATCGAGAACTTTATAACAAAGTTCTTATCTTACTACCCCGACTAGTGAGTGTATCATAGTTAATTTATTCATGTTTATGTATTTACTTTAACTTTTTGTCTCCTCAAGCACAGGATAATTCCTTTTTTTTTCACTTTTCTACACCACTTACAACACAATACTGCCTCTATTATACCTTTATTTTTTTTATCTCCAAGACAGTCATACATGTCTCTCCACTTCCTTATTAGGCCTTTATTCAGTTCTGTAGTTTATGGACTTACAATATAAAAGTCTTTGTTTATTTTTCCATGGTGAACAGAACAGATATCCTATTGTATAGCTTTGGTCTAAAATGAAAACAGCATTAACTCTGTTTCACACATTTTAAAAATTTTTACTTGTAAATTGTGAATTCAAAAATGAGTTTTTTTTCTCTTCATGTCATAGTTGATGTTTCTGATTCTGAAAATAGCTTATCATTTGTCTTTCTAGTATAATCTGTCTTTGCAACAGAAGATTAATCTTTAAAGCCTTAATCATGTATAGTTTACCCATAATCTATCAATCTTATAATGTTTATTTCCTGAAGCTCATTTGATTTATATAGAATCATAGTGTTTCCATGGTGATACTTCTGGTGAACTTCATTTTAAAATGAAATACCGTTTGTTTTTGTTGTTTTTTCTGTGTTTGCAGAAATTACCCAAACTCTTGTAACAGCTGCATTATACTTTAGTTAATAATCAACTCTATCTGCTTTTAACTAATTTTTCTATTTGCTTTAGGGCACACTCTGTCTGGTTTTTAAACAGGTTAAAAATTAACTTATTAAGTTAAACTTTAAAGAAATTTGCTTTTGCTCTAGAAAAGAATAAAACCTAATATATTAATAAATTCATAATTGTTTAATAATAAGAAAATTCATGGTTGGACAGATTATAATATTCACTTGTCATTGGCAGTGACTGGATCTTGTATCTGATATTGATATAAATATATTTTTTTCCTCACATTTGTTTTAAAAAGTTGTTAGTATATTATATTCTATTATTAAATGACATCTGACTTTAACATTGTAATCATCATTCCAAGGACTCCAATGTAGAAGTGGATATCTATGAAAAGTTGCCAGTTCCATTTGGATTGGTGAGGTTTGGAGTGGCTCCAGATCATCCAGAAGTGAAAGTGAGTTTGTACAAAAGGTTACCGAATTAATGGTTTTACATACGTAGTAGGCTTCTCCAGTTTAAGGTGTTAATAATCGACGAGTGCAGTTTGAGCTGAATTTGATTAGTACAAGATTAAGTTGGGTACACAATCTGTCAATTCAGGTATAGTTAAGGGCAGGGATGTACAAATATTGTCTCCTGTTTATGAAAATTTCAACTGTTGAGTCAAAACCATTGTATTAGTTTAATTTATGAAGAGAGAAAAAATTTAACTAAACCATTTTGAGAGAGAAACTGAAATGAAACGTGTGACGCTTAGTTGATACCCATTCCAATGTGAATTATGTCTAGAATTGTAAACCATTATATTTTTTATACATGCTTGGCTGTTATGATTAGTTTTGCACAAGCATAGGACAATTAAAATTGTATGAAGTCAAACTAATAATGTAAAGTTGTAATGAGGAATAGATTTTGACCTTCGATAGAACTAATTTGCATAATTTACTGATAATGTCACCATAACTACTAGTTGACTTGCATGTAGTTAACAAATATGTTACATAGAACTGGTATTAATGATTTTATATTAAAAAAATTAATGCTGTTTGTATACAGGTAATTGTTATGAGGGATATTTGTACAGCTATGTACAGCAAGTTTGCATTACAAGGGCACCCTCTGGTGGCCAACTAAAAGAACTGCAGCTGACTTAAGCAAAACAGATCTTTTTTATAACAGCTGCCATTCCGAGCAGTTTAATATTCATAATTTTTTTAACATAAAAAATTCTTTATTAATTAAATATACCTAATAAACATAATACTAAATAAACAGTAAAACATAACAGATTAACATTATCAGTTTGATAGTAAAATAAGCATGGAACCTCAAGTATAATAAGTTATACAAGAAAGATTGTTATAATCACTTTTATTTCATTATTATTATTATTATATTATTATACCAATACTGTTAGTTAATTAAACATCTGTGTTGGTTAGGCGATGTGTATAGTTTTACTGGTACTTTTTTTTCAGTATCAAAATTAGTGTTAGTGTATATTTTATATTTATTCTTCCATAACACATCTCTTGCATCTTGTACACTAGGTATCCAATACACTTTATTGAAGCAATGCAGCCCTAAATTTACCTACCCCTGTCCTTCACCATAATGATTTGCTTCAATGTACAGAAGGAGCAGCTATATATTATGTTTAGGTGGTGTTTGTGTTTTGTTTTTTTAGTATTATATTTCGTTTAAGTAATGGCCTTTATGCAGATCAAGATAGATTTTTTTTTTTTTAATATACGGTTACTATTCAAACATTGTCAAACAGTTTCTTTGTATCAACTGAAAAAAAAAACACACTGCTTAAACATCACTTGCTGAACCTTTGAACATTATTTATAACTATCTTGGAATTCCTGGCTAGCAAATGAATATTGGAGCCTTCAAATACAGCTATAATGATAATATATACGTGCACTAAACTCTGGTGTCGGTTTTTGCCAACATTGTAAAAGGTACATACAGTATCAAATGGTGTATGGAGATGTAAAGACTGTAAAGGTTTTGTCAAAATTTCAAATTAAACAGACATAAAACTGAAAAACATAATAATAAAACTAAACACCAAGCTTTCAGCTTTCTTGAAGAAAAAAAGTGATGCAAAGAAGAAGAACTTGCTTTTAAAAAGTTAAAAATATACACATGTCACTTGCATATGTGACATGAAGGGAATACACATTAGTGAACCATGCACTTGCTTTGTGGAAATTCTGTTCTTACAACAGCAGTTTTCTTTAGTTTTTATTATTGATTATCTGTGTGTAGTGTTTGACAGGAAAACTTAAAAGAGCTTGCTTTCTTAGCAAATGATGGTTCAAGTAGATAAAAACCCTTTTCAATATATTTATGCTGGGGTTGGAGTGTGTTCTTTAACTTACTACATAAAACTTTAATAGGAAAAAAAGGTTGACACTTCACAGGTTATGGTCTGTTTTTATTATCTGTGTTTATTATCAGATAACTTTTCTTTAATTCAGTGTCACTGTGCAAATGGTAACTTTTCTTTTTGTCAGCATGTTGTGTTGGTGTGTGTCTACAATTAAAAAAAAAAAAACACACACACACACACACACACACACACACACACACACACACACACACACACACACACACACACACACACTATATTGGGTTTGCAAGAACATTTTTCTTTATGAACTTCATCAACATAAGCAGTATTTGCACAGTGTTAATCATAATTGTTCTAGTAATTTAATAGTTTTTTTATTTCTATCAAAAAAACAAATGTACCATTTGACCGGAATGTTGCACACCCATCATAGACTAATTGATTAATGTGTAGCAGATATACCATCTGAGCGGAATGTTGCACACCCATCGTAGACTAATTGGTTAATGTGTAGCACATATACCATCTGAGTGGAATGTTGAACACCCATCGTAGACTAATTGGTTAATGTGTAGCACATGTACCATCTGAGTGGAATGTTTCACACCCATCATAGACTAATTGGTTAATGTGTAGCACATATACCATCTGAGCGGAATGTTGCACACCCATCGTAGACTAATTTGTTATTATGTTCCCTCAGACTGATTTTTAAAATACAGAAACACAATATGCAGCAAAATTCTTATGTGTACATTTTAATGGTTATTTAGGTTTTTAATAATATCTAATTTTTTGTTTATATAAATGAAAATAATGTTTACTTTGCAGAATGTCATCAGTACTTTTACAAATACTGCATCTAACAGTCGATGTAAGTTCTATGGAAACGTTAACGTTGGTGAAGATGTGACATTAAAAGAACTTCAGGAAGCATATCACATGGTCGTTTTGGTATGGTATAAGTTTATTACTGAATTCTAATATCTTAATAGTATTTTAATGTAAAGATAATTTAGCAGTATTAATTATTTGGAAGTAAAGGATGAGTATTGTTAAGGTTCTTAAATGTGCATTGGAATAATAAGACACTAAAATTAATTTGTCAGCTGTTATAAGCACTTGTTTAGAAGTCATGTTGTGCATGCAGTTTTATGATAGTAGATGTACATTAACATGGCATGTATTAGGAAAGCAACATGACTTTGAATGGCTCTTTGTGAGATACAGAATTGATTCATGCAGGGAATGTTGTGCATGTGGAGACTAAGATTGTTACACTTGATGCTTCACAGAGGACTTTGTCTCCTTAAACTTCAGAAGTCCAAGACATGTTGAAATGGTGAGGTGTGGTGGAAGGTACATAACACTAAATGTGAATAAGAAGGAGATATGTGCCATTTCTTTCATAAAGGGTTTCATAATCAATAGTGGATTGGTGTTGTTACCAGTAATATTACATCCAATAAGGTCACATCAACTTACTCAGTGTGATTGAAATGGGAACTCGGTATTCTTTCAAAGATGGCATGTAGACTGTTGGTACCAACATATTCCATTGGTTATAAAACACGTGCTTGAGCCAAAACCTTGAAATGATTCAATGAGTGAGAGGTTGAAGTCACGAGTGGTGTAAACACTATATATATTTTTATGTAATAAACTTTCACTTGAGCTGAGAACATGATCCAGATTTGTGACTCTGTTGACGAACGTAACATACACATTGCAGATGACTAAATGGGAATGCTGTAAATTAAATTGACCATTAACCACTGAACAGTTGCAAACATATTGATCAAAGTTTTATAAAATTTATAATAAATTCATAGTATTACTTTATTTAAGGTCAAAGAATATATCAGTAAATCTAACCCAAAAAAGTTTTGAAATGTGTGAATATTTTATTAAATATTTAGTGTAACAAACCAAAATAAATAAATAAAATGAAGAAAAATAAAGTGAGTATGTAGTCTTGATGGGTTGAGTTGATAAACATGACAATTTCTATTTATGTTTATTCATAAACATGACAATTTCTATTTATGTTTATTCATACTAAAGTGACTTCCAGTTTAAAGAAATAAAATAGTTATAAAACTAAATCTTTAAGAAATGTAGAAATTAATTGTATCCTAATATTTTAAGTTCTTAATTAATTGCTTTAATAAAAACAGAATTCAGAAAATAGACACCTAGCATTTTTTTTTAATGAAAGACAAATCCGTACTCTTCAACTAATTATCTTAATTACCTGGTTAATGAATAGCAGATATACCATTTGACCAGAATGTTGCACACCCATCATGGACTAATTGGTTGATGTGTAGCACACATACAATCTGAGCAGAATGTTCCACACCCATCATAGACTAATTCGTATTGTATATACACAATGAATATTAGAAACAATGTTCATAATGTTTGTTATTATAAGTGGATGTTTGGAAATAAATTCCAACATTTTAGTAAAAATAATATATACAGAATAAATACACAGTCGGTAATCATTCATTCTAAACTTGAATCCCTGAAGTCTGCACATAGTGATTATGTATGTTGTAATGTTTAATCTGTCAAAATACTTTATATTGTAAAAGTTTGGTCTTAAATAGTAGGTTTTATTTAGCAAAATTCAGTTCATCTTTTTTGAAATTGATGTATTTGATGAAAAAGATAAGATAAATGGATAAATAGATATGGTTCATAAGTTTAGACAGATGTTTTATAATTTTTAACTGGTCATGTTTAAAGTGCATAGTACTAATTTCAATTAATTTCAGAGTTGTGTTTTATAGTGCTTCACCCTATCTAATTAATCATTTTTATAGAGTTATGGTGCTGAAGAAGACCGTTCATTAGGTATACCAGGTGAGGTATGGTTCTTTGTTACTTTTGATAAATATATTTAAAAGTTAAATTAGAAATATGAAAAATTTAAGCTAGAATTGAGAGTTTGAGTCTTCAACAACATGAATGTTGAAGACTCTTAAAATAATTTTAGACTTTGAAGATGTAACTTTGGGAGTAGTAGGGACTTTTACAGTATTTAAAACAATCTTTAAATTAACCTGAATATGCTACATACTTAATACTTTTATTTTTGATACAGAGCAGAGGAATATTACTCTGTTTACTGTCTCACTTTTTTTTCTTTGAACGTGCTACTGATTTATTCTTGCCGCTAACAACCACGTAAGGGTCTAAACTGATCAAGTATATTTAAAGTCCACACCTCATGATTTGTATATTCTTTAGTTCCAAGTCTTAATTTTGTTATTAAGGCATTCAAAACTTATTTAACTTGAATAAATGAAGTACATAATATCTCTATCTGTTAAGTTCCTTAATACATACTGATCAGCATTTTCACTTGGAAATATGGCATTTAAACAATGGAATTCTTTGAAGCTCATCCAAATTTTATATGATTTATTGATAATTTGCAAAATTCGGATAATTATTTCAAACTGTCTTATTATGATGGCCTTGTTAAAGAATAAGAAAATATTTTTCAAAGCAGTGTAAATGAATATCTACTGAGAAACCTTTTTTCAGTGATGTTGTTAAGTTGAACAATTGTTATTACACAAACCAAGGAATTCTATTCTGTATACTGTCCATATGGATTTCATGTATGTTTGATGGAGATAGGTTTTTATGTTACTCTTGCAAACATAGAAAACTTGGAATATGTCTCAAGTCTGTAATAGTAAAATTAAGATACTTTTCTTTTATGAATTGTGAATGAAACTGTCATTGAATTATTAAAACTTGTCCATTATTGCAGTTTGTAAGGCTGTTTAATTTTAGTTTTTAGCCACTATGTTTTTGCTGGTATTTTAACCCTAAAAGTACAACTTTGCTGGTCTCGATTATAAATTTTATTGATTAACATGTTTGTTTGAAATATTTATAAACTTTAGTTTGATGTTGTTTAAATTATTGTTTGAAAATGATATACTAGTTTCTGTATATATAAATGTATATGTATATAT